TTTTTTAGGTTAACAGAGTGCAAAGTAGAACTAGATAGAAAAGTGGATGGAGTAGAAAGATTCCAATCAAATGTGTGATGGTAACAAAGCTTTTTGTCCTCTTACAGATCCATGCAGCTAATGACTCGATCACATTGTACACTTCTCGCAGTCATCAGAAACCAGATGAAAACACCTACGACAAAATGCTAGCGGCGAAAGGTGAAGGACATGTAAAAAATTATATAACAATAGTATATGAGCAAAACGCTATATCATATATTAAAAATATGTCCAAAATATTATTTAACCACCTGCCCATGGTATCTTTATTTTAAAACCACTTTTGTCGTGTCGATTTTGAAAAAAAAGGCACGCAGCTAATTTTCATATTATTCAAATGACTTTTTATCAGAAGATGGAAAAACAAAAGCGATATCGATCAAAACCCCTTGTGCAGGTAAATATAGATTTAGCAAAGAAATGACAAAGTCAATGAGAATCAGTGAATGTAATGTTAATCAATTTTACTTCTTTCCTATTACAATAGCTCCAAGTAACTGTCATCCAATCTACATGTCTCTTAAAGGAGCAGGTGTCAAATGCAATTGTTTGAATGGTAAATTGAGGRAATGTTTTGGAGACAGTTGTACGAACAGTGAATAGCGCTATCCATCGGATAAACTCTTATCGAGCGAGAATAACTTCCATACAATATCTATTGAGTGCGGATTACTTCAACTCTTCGTGCAACCAGTCCTTTATTACTTAAAAATGCATTGAGTCAGTAAACACACTCCATGGAACACACTTTTCTTGTTTTTTTTTTCAGAGACAGAGTGCGCAGTGCCTAATGAAGTTACAATAAAAGTTAAACAAAAAGGTAAATCAGAAAGGTATTTCAATTCAAGAACTCAAGTACATCCGATGACATTTTTGATTATTTTATTTATTTTTTTAATGATCTCATGAKTTAAGTGGCTTTCTGATTGGATCAAATTGGAACATGCCGATATTCTTATGCGGGAAATTTCCATAAAGATTGTTGGATGTGCTGCGACTGAAGCAGTTAAGAGTACGRCAATGGCGCGGTAGTTGATTTTACGTCGCATGTGCAAAGTGTAATGCGAACAAAAACTATTTAAAACTTCTTAACTGTCTGTGTTATACCCCATAYCATTCTTGTACCCAGATCCTATTCGTCTTCCGACCGAAGTTCCGCAATATAAAGAGGTCAAATGTTTCTTCAAAGTACCGTCTGAGAAGCTTCTTGGAKCCGAAGACGTTGCTATTGAGGTTAGAAATCAGTTAATGTACAAAATATAAAATATATCTATCAAATAAGAATTCGTATTGTTATCAATTTTTTGTAATAATGATCTTAAGCAATGCTGTTGCTGTTGTTGCTGCTGTTATTAGTGTTCTTGCTGTTGTAGTAGTAGTGGTGCTGCTGCTGTTGTTTGTTCATCATCATCATCTCCTAATTATTCTACTTCTTCGTCTTTAGGTCAGCTCAAACATATCTTCTGCTCTTGTGATCTACCTATCGAGGACACATGACAGGCCCGACAGCTCAAATTTTACTGATAAACTTTCTACATCAGGTATGCCTTTGACATCCCTAATACTTGAGATTTACTCACCCTTGACAAATAGTTTTTTATCTGTTGCAGCTGGAAATGGCACTGTGATGAAGATACGGGATCCATGTTCTGGTAAAAATGATAGAAGATTGTCACATCTTATGAATCATAACATTACAATTTACTACGTAATTTTATGCATCATATTTCAGGTTACAATACTTGTCCACCGCTTTATTTGACCATCATAGGAACTACGATATCCTGCAACTGCACCACAGGTAAAAAAAAAAAGAAACTAGACCAAAACAAAAAAGCTAAACTAAATCACTATCCAAACTAAAATAGGTTGTACGTGTATAGACTTGGAATGATTTTGGTTTTGTTTGAAGAGTTTTGTTTCGTTGTGCTTTAGATCTATCAGGAAAAAAGGAAAAATGCAGTCTTCCAAAAGATGTAACCATAACATTGACCAAAGGTAATTTGACGAATACGATGCAGTGGCTCCTGCAGTAGTACTATAAATAGCTAGGGCCTCTCAGCAAATATACTGTAGTTTGATTAATGTCAATTAAAGTCGACTGCAATTGACATTAAACTGCAGTATATTTGCTGATAGGCCCTAGTCTGTATATGTTTTCACATTTACTCATTTCAAAGCAAAGTGCCTTACAGAATAATTTCAACTGAACCCTTTCTCTTGGCGTAGTTTTCTTACAGAATCTTTTGCAGCTTATATAGATAGTTTTTTTGGTGGGATTATATAGAAATTGCTTGCTAGATAGATTTTGAACTTGGGGGTGGAAGGGGAATATTGAATATTGAATATCGTCCTTCAAAATCTTAGGAATATTGAGTATTCCCTGAAAAATGCACGGAATACGGAATATTTCAATAAAACACACACAAAAGCGAGAATAGGAAATACTCAGCCAGCTTAATAAATTTATGAATTAAACGAAATTGAAACACAGACTACTCAATGTTGCTCTCAATCAATCAATACTTATCTACTCTTAAAAACTAAAATCACAAGGAATATCCTCCGAAGTATTATCAAGGAATGGGAATATTCACGCCTGGAGAACAGCAGAATACGGAATATCTTATGTTGAAATATTCCTCTTCCATACCCGATTGAACCAATTTAATCGGAAAGGTTACTTYACTACAAGCAATCGCAAATCGTGGGATTTTAATAGTAAACCAAAACTTTGTCTTCAATACTTTTGTTCTTATTGCTTGTAGGTCAAACAAAGAGCTCTGCGAATACCTTGAAGAGAGTTATCCTGGTCATGATAGTTGGTGTTTTCTTGTGCTTCGCTTCTTCATAAACACGAGAAATACAGCTTTCTTATTGCTTAAATGCTTACAGAAAATTAGTGTCATGTCCAAAGAAAACATCAAAATGCAGCAAAGGACAAAGCCGGAAATGTTTCCTGGAATATTAACTCACTATTCTGAACTGACATTAACTCCTCTTTAGATATAGTCTATGCTAATCTCTTCGTCTTCATTCTACTTGGTGTGGACGTGGTGTATAAGCTCATGGGATCTTTTAGAGAGAAATAAATAAAAGTCTTAGTAAAACATTCATTGGTAATCTCAAGCTAGAGACTCATTCGAGAGAAAGTTTTAATCGACTAATAAAATTTTGGACGTCAGCAGTTGATGTTTAATCTACAAATGATTTCATAGATTACATTTCGTAGTAAGCCAGCATACAACAATTGCATAAAACGTTCATTAAAATGTGTATGTTCCGAGGCCGAAATGCATTGTTGGTTGTCGTTTCGCTATTCACCACATCTGCACCTTCGCCACTTAAGTTAAACCCAATAGCAGCTATAATGCATTTCGGCCTTGGAATACGTCACGTAGTATTACAGTGTTTGGTTCTGGAAGTTGTTTTGACTGAAAAAATATATTTCCACGCTGGGAGATGGGGTTAAGGTGTAAAGTGCAAATGACCTCGATTTTTCAAATTCTAGCATAATCTATGCGATTAAAGCTAGRAATTTGGAGCARAAAAGATTTTGAATTGGATGAATTCYCGATTTTTAACGTTATTTAAAATTTCCTGACAGTTAAGGAATCGTCACATTTTCGAAGCATTTCAAAGTAAATGGTAGAGATTCGAAGGTTTTCATTCCTGTTATAAATGGCTTTGAACTGTAAGACAACTTTTAAATTTTTTTAGTTAATATATCAAGCGATGTGGTTCCTCAGAAGACGTTACAYTAGGCTCGACTCATGTAAACAAGACCAAAGTAAAGCGTTACAAAGCGAGCAAATTACACTTTGCGTTACTCTATTGTAATAATCAATCATACTTTCAAAGCTTGTCTAATGTGACCGTTCAAGTATAGCATTTACGTTCGACTCCCACCATTGGTATCGATATCAAAGCACTTCATTTCGTAAGTAATATAAGASTCGAAGCTACAACAAAGAAGTTAAAAATGACATTGGGTAGCTTGTTCATCATCCTAGTGAGTATTCATTGGTCTGAAGAGGCATTTACTGTCAGTTTGTACAGAATTTACATAATATTGAATATTTTTTTCCCTGTCCACTCAACCTTAGACTTATTCAAACAAAATCAAAGTTACTTTACAACTTTGTGGCAATTTTATTACTGATGTAGTTGTATTGGATTATCTAACATTGACTATAATACGTTTTAAAAGAATTGGTTTTCTAACTATGGGCAGCAACTTTTTATAGTAATCGCTGTGATTTGAGGCAGCCCTTTAAAGTAACCGAATTTTAATTGCAATTTCCTTATGCAAATAAGTTTTACGTTGGACGCGCATGTATCTCAATATACGAGGCTTTCGTATTGTTTTCCATGTAAGAGTTTTAAACTCAAAAGTTAACTATGTCTTGTTTGTGTGCAATTATGTTAAGAATTGAGTTGTTACGATTCAAGTCGCACTGAGCTGGTCCATAAATTATACTGTCATTTATAGTTTATATTCATGAGATCATGCATAAAAAATGTATTTTGGTTTCATTCGTGACTCTTGCCTCAGCTCTTTCAATAAATCATATACTACTTGTTCAGGTTCACGGGCTGCACCTCGAAAGGGGGAGGAAGGCTAGTTTGGAAGGGAGAGAGATGTATGTGTGTATACAGCTATTTCAAAAATCGTTGTCGAACTACCTGTGCTTTTTGTGGGATTCCTTATTTTCAAGGATGGGAGGGGACTAGTTTAGAATGGCCGAAAAGCAATTTCTCTGCAAATTCTGTAMGTTTTAACCATTWAAAAAAAAA